ATCTGTATGCATCAGACAAAGTTTCCAGGATTGAACAGTTCACACATCTGAAAAGCCATCATCACAGAAGCAGCACACTACAGATATGTGACAATCACTTCCCTTTTGTGTGTTCAAGTTAGCATCTAAAACTTACAAGTTCATTCTCCCACACTTACCACTTCTAACTCGTTTTCTCTCTCTGAAACACCCTTTTCTTCTTTCTTCTCTTGGTCGGTGTCTGTATTATCCTCTTTCCCAGTCACACTTTAAAAAAAGAAAAGGATATAAAGTGCGTTGCGAAAGCACAGAGGGAAACTCTTCTTTTCTCTCAGATTTTTGTTTTTAAATAACAGTAAGTTGTAAAAAAACAAACAGAAAGGGTTAGTCACTTAGCTAAGCAAACCTATCCTTTCTGATGGTTACAAGAAACAGAAATTACTACTTGACTAATAATGTAAAAGTTTTTATCAATGAAGAAAAGCTTATTTTCCAGAAATATTGAAAAATACCTCATACCCTGGGAACTTAGCACAGGAGCAGTCAACTAATTACAATGTACCACAATTTACATTCAAAAGAAATCAAAACAGACATTTCTGACTCCTCATCAAAATATATGAAAGCTATTCTCATATATAAATAGAATGCTATAAAACGATGTTGTTCTCAGTATCCTAATAAATTTAAGGTTATTTTTCAGAGTTCTAAATCACTCTGCCCCTAGTGAGCTTGCCCTCACTGGCCGTATCCTTAATGCCATGCTTAAACCATCTGTTCTACATAAGGCTATTTCTCACAATGTCCTCACAGAATGGGTCTTTGAATTCCAAAACTGTCTGAAGTTCAGGCTGTCCTCCGACTAACTGAGAAATTACGGAGTCTACACAAGTTTCACCATGAAGTCTGAAGCTCTCCTCTTTAGCGATCTACTGCCTATAGTCATGAGGCTACACAGGTATGAGATCACGGCTGCCTCTACGTTAACGCAGGCCTGGGAGGGGATAGGACTACAGTGTGAGAAGTTTTTGAATATTCAGGTCACTCTCATCTTTTCCTTGGATTTACCAAGCATGACAAACTATGTGTTCACTAGACTCATACATCTGAGTTAAACAGTATTAAGACAGTGAATTTTAAATGAATCTATGTTTTGTGATACAGTGGCATGTTAAAATATAAGGAATACTCAAATAAGGTAATATTGTCCAAATAAAATTCCTCTAGAATTCACCACATCTGTCGGAAGTTCTGTTACATTCAATAACTTCCCTGATACGTGGGCTTATTTCTAGGTCCTAAGCAAATGATTTGACCTCATTTAGGCCCTGTTATGATTACTTCACTCTAACATTCAACTCCAGGTCCCTAGTCTCATAGGTATTTTTAATATAGAACAATAAGAAAGTAACCTTTTCTCTTCATAAGCACTTTTGGGAGTTTGCAATTTGTTTCCTTATATGATTATTTATTTGAGCTGTCCTACCCGCTGGACTAAGGCCTGTGAGCACTCATCCTTTCCAGTCCCAAGGCCTGCACACAGTACATTACATTATTGAATATGTCATTTCCTTGATGAGAGCCTGCGTTTGAAAAGCCCTGTGCGCCTTCCACGCAGCAGTTAGGTTGAAATGGAATAATCAAGTTTGAATTTTCATAGATACATGGAGGACAGCATGTTTTTGGAGTAAGAAGTAAAAGCCAATAAGAACAGCAACAAAATAGTCACAATGAGTCAAGTAAATTGCAACAAACTTTTATGATCATTGTCAAATCATTGTATTAGGGGAAATGAACTTGAAAAAAACTGGAAACCATTCATGGTGAACACATGACAAATGATAATTTTAAAAGGCATGCTGCATGCCTCTTTGGGATGCTTAGAATATTCCAGGATTTTGCTACCATTACACAGCTCAAGCTAAAAATCTAACAAGAAATTGACCCTTCATCCAAGCATATTCAAAAGCCAACAACACATATTCAAATGCTAATGTGTAGAGGCTTAAGGTTTGGCACTGGAAGAGAATGTGGGGAGCACATTTCTCCTCAGGTCTTCCATTCCCTCCTTGAGGCTGTCTCCCTCTTATCTGGCTGCTGTGGTATGTAATTCCCACATTCTATCGTTTCCTACATTACCTCAAGTTTGATCTGAAATCCTCAGTACTCAGGGCCAGTCCGCACAATTTTATTCTGAACGCTTGATTAAACATACCACCTGCTCTCTTAAGTAACTAATACCCAGCCTAATAAATGTTCTTTCATTTCTATTTCCAATTAGAAGCTATTCTTGCACTCTGATACAGAAAAAATCAGCATCATAGCTATATACTACTGATATATATGCTTATAAGAATCACTTTCGAAGCTTCAGTTTTTAAAATATGATACTGATAATTACTGTATCTCAAGTACTGAAGTTTTCTTTGATAAATGGAACCAAATCGATACCTAAAATAATCAATGCAAGAGAATTAAATTCATACTGTACACAGAATCAGAATCTTGGGAGTTGGAATGAACATAAGAAATGAACTTCTTCATTTGATAAAACAGAAAAGAAATTGGGGCCTTGAGAAGCTAGCCACTCAGGGAATTAAGAACAGATGTCCTGGTGTAGAATACAACACCCAAATTTCAGGTACAGAGTTCAGGCCCACATCACCAGGGAGCTTGTTAATGTAGAATGCCACCCTCCACCACTGTGCTCCTGAAAAGAATCTGCATTTTACTAAATCTCCACAGATATGTGTGTGCATTTACATTGAGAGGTAGACCGGTCCACTTTTGCTGTCTACATGATCATGTGAAAATCAGAAGCAACCTCTATTTACTAACTCCATGTATTTAAAGAACTGAATATTTACATATGGTAGTATGCTTCAATGTATAATTTTAAACAGGCATTGTATTGTGACCTTTACAAATACAGGAATTTCACATTTGTAATGCTTTAATTCCACTGATAAATATGTTGTCCTAAAGAAATAGTGATTAGGAGGGTTCTGATGTGGTTCACAGACAATTAGAACTACATTCTAATTACAGAATACTTTTTAAATGTTATAGACTTAGCCGAGTATGGTGGTGCACACCTTTAATCCCAGCACTTGGGAGGAAGAGGCAGGCGGATCTTTGTGAGTTCGAGGCCAGCCTGGTCTACATAGTGAGTTCCAGGACAGCTGGGGCTACAGAGAGACCCTATCTCAAAAAGACAAAAAAAAAAAAAAATTATAGACTTGTAGAATATAAGCTCAGAGACTTTAGAATCTAAATAGCAAATAAAATATAATTAGGGGTCTAAATTATGATTAAATATAAAGTAAATTAGTCATTTAAATACACAGTAAAAGATCTAAAGCTTCTATTTGAAATAAGAGATGATTTCTAATATAATGCTTCTAAGAGAATTGCATTTTCAAACTATTTCTTAATGAGTCTGGCTACATAATTTGACAACTTGTTTGGAAAAAAATCTATGAAGAAAAGTTCTAGGAAGAGGAAAGCATTTACTTATTTAAATAACTAGCCATACTTCCAAGTGGGTGAAGGGTCAGTTTCCATTATATGGAGTTCAAGAAAGCTTCTAGGCATTGCCTGTGTTTCAAATGAAAAGGAGACTATTCAGATTTCAAAGTCCTGTTAGATACACTTGAAACACAAAAACATTTTCTAGCTTGCCATTAATGGTTCCTCATCAGTCTCATCTGTACTAAGGCCATAGTTTTCTGTTGCTCTCTTGCCATTTTAATGCTTCCCAGCAGAGCTTACACCAAATAGGAAGCAGAAACCTAGCCTGAGTTAGCACGTGTGCCTCAACAAAATGTCCATTCCCACCAACTGATAACTCCCACCCCGTTCACTCACAAGTTTCTGAGAGACACAGAATTGCTAGCTTTTGGTTTGCTTTTGGGAATCAGATGGCGGAGAGCTCAGACAGCTAATTTTACTAAAAGTTAAGTCAGCATACCTCTGGAGTTTATTTTTAAATCAAATGAAATTGCTTATGTTTTAATTCAAGCAACTACAGAGTTTTTATTCTTAAAAAGTACTTCTAATTTTTGTTATTTTCTGTTATTTTTATGAAAATCATTACTTTCAGGAATATAATCTAGTCCGAAGCAATCTACAGTTCTATAGCAATCTTTGTGAATGGCAACTAGGTATTTCAATGACATTTAAATTTAAAAAAAAAACCTGGGAAATATTCCAACCTTCTTTCTTCTCGATTGCTTCCCTCAAGTTTCTGTAGCCTTCAAAATCACGAGGCACAGTATTGGAGGCCAATGAAGGACAAACCAGACAGCAAAGCAAACATGGTAAGAAGGCAAAAGTGATACATGAGCTTGAAGACTTTGAAATAAACTTTAAAAGATGTCATTAAAGGACAATACACAGTAAAAAGGCAGTACATTCATACGAATATAAAGTAAGTAGAAAATCAAGTAGTTTTATGGCTAAGAAGAAAATATGGGCTGTCTGCTGAAATTATTTAACAGCAAATGTAGTCTCAACTTACATAAGCTGATAACTACTATTCGGACGTCATTGCTATTTTTAGGCCGAAATGAATTCTCAATTTTCCCCATAAGTAAAGCCTATTTCCAACAACATGCTTTTCCTTTTAAATCTTTCAAAAGACTTTTCACGGTATACTAAAAGAAATTCATAAAGTAATGCCTTTATACCATAATATGATATAGCAATACCACATACAAGTTACTACTTTTAAAAACTTGAATTTTTAAAAAATATATACGTGATCATCACTAAATCTAAGTAAAAATAAATCCCATGTCAAATTACATATGAGATGGCATTATAGGCAAATGAATACAGTTATGTGATCAATGAAAAATACAATTTTAAGCAAATGAAGATAAAAATTTTATAATGTTGGGATTAAGATTTCCTTATACTAATTACTACAAACTAGCAAAAGGGCGAAGCTAAGCCAAAAGTGGGAATAAAATGGGAAATTTAGTACTTTCCATTAGCAAGACTATTTTGCAATCTGAAAAAAAAAAACCATAAATTTACAGTTAGACTTTGGAATATAATTTAAAGAACAGTCAATATAAAAACCTGAAGATCTTTATGTAATGGAATGTACTTTTTATCAATATTTGTCACAGAGACAAAACAATAGATATGCTAGGCTGTGGATAGGCATACTGTTAACTAGATACAGCACTCTCTGTCTAGACCCCAAAGTATTCTTTTAGTATCATCAATATTTAAAATAATGAAAAGACGGAGCCTGAGTTGTGAATTATTCCATGAAGCCAGTTCTCATTTTCATCTGTGCTGTGTGATTTCATAGGACTTTCATTTCTTGGACTGTGATTGTCTCTTAGAGTCAACTTATATACTGCTATTAGGAGATGAGACCAGCAATCTGAGAGAAAAACCACCTACAGAGTAATACTAGTCAGGATCAGATGATGACTAGAAAGGTTGGCATCGCACAGAATCTGTGTGTTGCTGAAGTTTCAACCCAACAGCACCAAGTCTGAGTGCGATGCAGTCTGTCATTTCAAGCTAGATATCCAAAGGATGGGACTAAACATGTGAACAGTACACGATGCAAAACAAACGAGCCTAATCTAGGCTTACACTGATATAACAAGTAACCATGGCTCAAAGTATATGGTTTCCTGGTGAAGAGCCCAAATTTTCTACTTTCAATATAGAGGGTTGTTGGGTTTTTTTTCCCCTGAAACTCTTGGTTTATTGTATGTTTTTTTTATTTCAATTCTTTGCTTAAGATGAGTTTATTTACATTTCTAAAATGGGAACTTATATTTCATAGATCTAAAAGTTATTGGGGCTAGATGTGATCAATGAAATGCTTTATCAACCTGAATAAAATAGCACTAGCTCTTTTGCTTTGGTTTTATTTTTGTTAGTGTATGTGGCGTGTACATGTGTGCGTACGCGCGTGTATGTGTGTGTGTGTGTGTGTGTGTGTGTGCGCACACACCCAGGTGGGCATGTGCAGGTCAGAAGAGCACTTTCAGAAATCAGTTCTCTCCTTCCACTGAGAGTTCTAGGGGCTGAATCGAGTCTTCAGGTTTGCAGAGCAAGCACTTTTCCCCTGAGCCATCTCACCAGCCCAGGTTTTCATTTTTAATATAAAACAACGCTTGTCTATGGACTAGCAAGACAAATTTCATTAAACCTAAAGATTTATGTGATAGTAGAGTTCACAGATTGGCTATGTAGACATTTATGTCTATAGTATAAAAGACAAAATTTTTAGTTCCCAAATATCGGCATCAGTATTAAAGAATCACCGAAGCACATACATGAAACATGCCTTAGAAAGCACACTCCATGAGCTCTGAGATTTAAGAATGTTAACTGGTTTTGTCGTGGAAGCTTTCACTTATCTGCCTTACCATGTCTGCTCACCAATATTTTTCTCTAACTGCACTCCTATTTATTAGGAAATAATTTGTTGTCCTTCAGATAGTTTAATATTTAAATTGAATTGTTTAGTAGGTCATTATTATTCATATGTACCATTATCTTTATCATAATTATTACATCTATCACATTCACTGAATTATCCACAAATAATTCGAAATAACTGCTGTTTTGTTTCAATTTGTTATGAACAAGGGTTCCGTAATAAAGAAACCAGGAAAAATATAAATAAAATATTTTCTCTTAGTACTGTTTCTCAGTCAAGAGTATTTATTAGAATGCATTAAAACAAAAATAATCTGAACCAGAGGAATCGAGTTCAGGTACCTATGGGCACTATAAAAATATCAAAAACATTTTTATTAGGATCCCTATTTATCTTTTGTTATTCATATTCAACAAGTGATTTATGCAAAGTCTAAAGGACTTAAAGTATAGACTCAGTCATGACCTTGAAAAATGTACATCTGTTTATACTTGTTATTCATGAACACACACTTAACATTTAAAACATGTCACACCATCTACAAAACTGAGTTTGGCAAGCTAATGCAAAAGTGCGAAAGTTCATTCGAGCTCATTTCCATAATCGTGAGCTCCGTCAACGGGGACTGAGTCATGAGCCGTGTCCCCCTATGGCTCTATGAAAACACTAAGTAACACGACCTGCTCAGGAGCATGGTGCCTCCTAACCATAGTGTGTAATCATCCATTTAACTATTTTGTCCATTCTTTGCTAACATAAAGCACAGAGCAGAGTTAATCTAAGGAACTTAAATTTCTACTAACTTTGATCAACTGACTGTTCAAAGAGAAACATCTGGCTCTCTAAATACATTCTTAAACAGCAGGAAAAAGTCAATAATTCTCCAAAGCCTCCCCTGCTAGACACAGGAAGAAGAAGGCCTGGCCTCCTTTTGAATATCTAGCCAGAAATGCTTAAAGTGAATTCCAGTGGCATGTTGAAATAAATAGCTGGACTGCACATAGAACCAATGCGTGAATATGGAAATAATTTGAGTATTTAAGCACTCGCACGTTACAAGTGATCAAATTTTCATTTTCTTCCTGTTCTTTGTAGCCAACTGATTTCAGAAAGAGATCTTGTTAAGCTACAAGGAAGAGAAGCCTAGTGTGGGGGGAAGATGAACAACTCCAGGAAGGTTCGGAGGGCCTGAAATAGCACGGTCATACAATCAAACTAGAATCCCTGAAGAAAACAGACCAAATGGCATTCTGACAGATTCGTTTAGCGTTTAGTTAAACTAATCTAATGGCATTAGGATGCCCACAAGACCACTTAATGATGTTAGAAATGAGACAGGTGAAGACACTGTTTTAATGGAGCACAGCCAGCTCTGCAGAGACACAAGATGGATGGAATGTGAAAGCAGCGACTGGAAAACAAAATAACTTCTACTAGCAATTTTACCTTGTCATAATCAAAATAACATTCATTACTACATGGTACTAAGTAGCTAAGCTTACTTTTCTTAAGTAGAGATAAACCATTAAAAGTTATATAACTGTGATATTAAGCTAATGTAAGTAATTTTCCATGAATTCACATACTTAGGAGACTATGCAACTCTAATTACAAACTAAAATAGCCTGAAGAGTAAAAGGTCAGTAAAGATTGCAAACACTACCTTTTCTTCTTTTTCTTCTCTTTCCTCTTTAGCTTCTCTAAATCTTTCTTTGCTAGATCAATAATTTCGATAGTTTCTTTATCCGAAGACAGTATGGTAGGAGAGAAAGCCGATGACCCACTGAAATACGGGGCTCTTGCTGTGGCTCTGGTCAAGTTTTTCCGAAGATTCTCATTCACTGCTTCACTTTCTAATAACTTTGCCCTAATGAATAAAAGTATGTTAAAGAGGGAACAATTTTATTGTGGTAAAACCCAACAGACCTTTATTATCCTGGCCATCTAAAGTGTACAGCTGAGGATTCAGCTCATCTACACAGCTACACAGCCACCACCACCAGGCACACCCAGATCACGTTCCCCTTAGCACACTGACTACACACTGAACACCAGCACCACTCACTAAGCGACACAGTGAGATGGTAGAGCTATTCAAAATAAATGTGCTTGCAGACATTAAAGTTTAGACACTTTTAAATTTTCTGACTGAATCATTCTAAGTCTGATCACACTATTAAGTGGTCAAAAGAATTCTAAATATCAAGGTGCCAGTGGTAACTAGATTACTTGAATTCTGGCCACTGGGCAGAAGTAATTTGTAAAGTACTGTTTAAAATACATAAGCAATGCGGCCCCACAGTTTCAGGTCTAAAACTTTATAAGGAATCATGGCCCTGAATGGCTGAAAACTTTTACCAGGAAATGCAAATTTAAAAATTAAAGTATTCTCGTGTTTTGTCAAGTGGTCCTAATCATGGCAAGAGGGTAGTATAAGTGCATGTATGTATACACATGTGTACTATGAACAATGCATAGAACAGAGCAGGAGGAGATACGGAAAGATCTTAGAATCTTGAGAAGAAAAGAGAAGTCTGCATTACTCCCCTTTACTTCTATCTGATATAAACTATCAAGGCCCCAATGATCTATCTCACCAGAACAGATTTTCAAAGTTAATTTGGTGCATTGCTAACTGAGATGGGGCCCTAAAACAACCCCTGTCAGCACCGATGTAACTGAGCACTGTGGCCACATCATCAAGTATTTCAGAGGAAAATGCTGCTTTCCTCACAAACAAAATTCTGAAATGCGTGCTCACCTCTGCTTTTTTGTGTCTACCACAGTTATTCATAATACGCCTTATTTTACTTATTTTTTATTTATTTATTCTCTGTATGGAGGTGAGGGTATGGGGTAATCCAGGGTTTAGGCATGTGTTCTTGTAGGTGCACGTGTGTAAGGTCCGTGTGTGTGTGTGTGTGTGTGTGTGTGTGTGTGTATGTAAGTCACAGGTTAACCTCAGACATCATCCTCAGGAGCCATCCACAGAAGCAGTCCACCTTGCTTTCTGGACGAGTCATTTCATTGGCTTGGAGCTTGCCAGTTAGGGTAGGCTGGCTGGCTGGCAAGCCGGGGCTATGCCTGTCTGCCCCTCTGTGCTTGGACGAAAGCATTTATCACACTTAGCTCTTTTTTCTGGGGATTGAATTCAGACCCTCAGGCTTGCTCCTCAAGTACTTCACTGGCTGACCCATATCTCTGGCCCTCACACTCTGAAAACCAGCTAAAGACAGACTGTACTAGAATTAGTGACTATGCTTCAGATCAATGGCCCACACAATCTGAAGGAAACAGCTTTATATCTAGAATCATGTGATCTAGAGTCATGTCAGCAGAACAATTACAATGATCAATAGGTCTAGGAAGAACTTTCAAGATGAACATGCATGTGCTTAACATGCACAACCAAGTTCAATTCCCAGCACCAAGAAAGTATAGATAATAGCTATGTGTGAACTTCTAGGTTATGATTTCAAAGTCGTCTTAAATAAAGTTCTAAATATATAATGCTGTCATTTTTTTTACTTTAAGTCAACAAAGTGAAGTTTAAAAACTCAAGTTAACTATATAATTCCAAATCAAAGGACAGCGAGATAACTCAATGACTAGGGGAGCCTGTCACCAAACCTGATGGCCTGAGTTTGATCCCTGGAACCCACATGGTGGAAAGAGACCTCTGACCTCCACACAGACACCGGCATGTGTGTACCTACACACATTCACACATACACACACACATACACATACACACACACACACATTTTTAAATAGATTTTTTGGAAACTTGAAATCAAGACATGTTTATCACACAGCAGAAATGTGTTAACCATATGTTATGCTTTCCCATATTTTCAGTTTATCCCAAAGCCTGGATGAATGGTAACAAAAGCTGAAACCATAAGAAAATGCAATAAATCAGCTAACAATGTGTGCTTTCAACTTGCATTTTGTTGTGTTATACCTGGTTTTCAAGGCTTGCATTTGGTAGGGACTGAAACCTTTACAGCTCACTTCCATAAACAGCTACATGAAGGAAAGTTGTGTTTGTAGAGGCTACACAGAGGAGGTACATTTCCCCCCGACCTTCCCGCTCTCCCGACTCCCCACCACACACTTGCGGCTTTTTATTTACTAGGAGGCCAGACGACTTGAAGGGAAGTGGACTTCACTGGAAGGGACAGACCAAGGGCTTGCGTCTCAGCAGCCACTCTGGATCTAAACATCCTGATCTTCCATGTGTAAATAAAGATTAAAATAGATACTTCCCCTAAGACTGTGATGAGAATCAATTATGCAATCAATTTAAACTTGTCTGATATTATATTTGGCAGACAAAAGTAGTTCTTATAAAAATTAGAAATAATTGTCGACAGTAGTAAATTAAATGAATCAATTACAAACATAAAATACTGCCATTGGATAATGTGAAATCATTAGAAAAACAATTCATAACACTGAAAATGTTCATAACATACTGTCACATTTCAAAGAACAGATAGCAAAACAACACACAGTATAATTTTGCCAGTTTTGTTGACACACAGAGGGAAACTATTGAAGACAGGTAGCAAAATGCTAACTTCAGTTCTCAGTTCTGAGAACAGAGGGAAAATGACTCATTTCAAGTTTTTCTTCATATTGTTTCTTCTATGTTCAACTTCTATAAAAATTTTAATGTCTCAAAATTAAGTAGCGATGCCTTCACAGACATTAAAGGTAAGTTTATTAAAACATCACTACTGAGGGCTGGAGAGACGGCCCCACTTAAGAGTACTGACTGCTCTGGCAAGGACTTGGGTTTGGTTCCAGCACCCACATGGTGTCTAACAACTGTCTGTAACTCCAGTTCCAGAGGATCTGACACCCTCTTCTGATCTCTGTGGACACTGCACAGCACAGGTGCACTTAACATATATGCAGGCAATACACTCATACACATAAAATAAAAATTAGAAATATTTTTCAAAAGCCACTACTATGATTTCATAATCAGAATAATGTCTAAAGTAAATATCCAGGCAGCAATATATTCAGATAAAATCTCACTCAGTTTAAGGAGCTGGGATTAAGTCTTCACAAGAGGAAATTCTGACATAAATATGGATTAATATGGGATTTAGTAATTAAAAACAGAATTTGAGAAGATAGGCTAAATAACACCTCAGACCTTTACATCACCTTTCATTTTAAGGACTTAATACATTTTTTTCACTCAAGCCCCACAATAACTTTATGAGACTAACAAGTATTATCTCTTTTTTAAAGACTAACAAACTAAAACTCAGAGATGTTTGGTAACCTAGCATATTAGGTAACACCTTGTTAATAAAGAGAAGCTTACATTTCAATCCGGATAATTCAATTTGAATTCAGAGTTCATTTATGGGTAGTCTATATGTCAGTTATTTTTACGTTGTACACTATAATCCTGGGACTCTAGAAGACTACTCCCCAGGGGTGGGGCACATCTAATTAGAGAGCCATCAGGGCTGGGAAACTGAAACAAGAGATTAACCCATAGGAGGAAAGGGTCAGGGCCTATGAATCATCGCTGTGCTGTCCTCTAATGCCTTAAGGAGCGGACCCACTGAAGATGGAAGCTGTCGGGTACTGCTTTTTCCATCAGGAGTAGAAATGACTCAGGGAGTTTTCTAGGAAATAATGACAGTAGTTATGCCATGTGGCCAACAGTGAGATCAAGGTTAGGTACAGCCTTAGCATATCAGGTGGAGGAGGGGAAACAGACCACAAGAACCAAAAAAAGACAAGCAGTGGCCAGTGACAAGGGAATAAAGGAGGGGAGGAGAAGCCACATAGGAAGGGATGAAGGCCTTCAGAAGCAAGGGGGCAGGTGCACTCAAGAAATGGTGAAGGCATGGTCTACAAATAAGGAAAGATTAGCCCGAGAATAAACTTTGGACAGCTCTCAGGGAGGAGTACCAGCAGCCTTGCAGGGTAGAAACTGAAGTTTAGTCTGGCTGTTGTAGAGAACCGGGATGCAATGCCCACAGGCTGTCAAACAGCAGAGCATGAAAAATTACACACGTACAAAGCATGAACAGCACCATTACCAGAATAACTTTACTGCCACAGCGGAATATCTTTTTGCTCATCCTTGATTTTTGAAAGATTTAAGGGAACAAAGGTACTTTGCAGTGGCAGAAAGCAGAGGAAAGTACCTGTCGGTGTTTGGGAGCCGCTGGAATAGCCCAAGAAGTTGGGGTATGAACACAGATTCAAGACAGGGAGAGTTAGGGCAGCTATGAATGGTGACGACCTCAAACTTGGTTCTTCTCTGCAGAAGTGAGATTTGAACTAGCTAGATGTTCCCTGTGGAGCTGACTGAAGTTTTACTTCAAGAGAAAATAACTCAGCATCAGGGCAAATCACAGAACCTAAAAATCTTCCAAAATTGATGAATATCCCCGTCCTGTTTCTCACTCCTATGCCCAAATCTTGTTTCCTCCACATTCCTATACTGCAAATGGGCATGCTTTCACTAAATCCTTACACCTGTATTTCCACATGTGACTTACATTTCTTTACTAGACTGTGCCCTCGTTATATCATGCCTGTCCCCAATCTGTGGCATCCATGCTCAGACGTGAGCATCTGCTGCATGTTGTATCATATGTAGCAGAGAAAAGCAGGCGAACTGGCAGGGATTCAGGAACCATGGAACTACCAAAGTCACAGAAGGAACAGGAACAGAAGGAAACCCAAAAGTTAAAGATGCTCATAGATGTTGACCTCTTCTCAAATGATGGGGGAAGAGCCACAGGAATGAAGGGCTCTGAACATAGCCTCACCCACATCAGTTACGCCTGGCCTACAGTGCAGGATTGGTGGTGTCCACTGTGGGGTCCAACAGTAACAATGGGGACAACACGCAAAAGTAACATGGGAAGAGAGAAGAGAAACAGCTTTGGAGTACAACATTATGCACAAGTCACGTATCTAGAGCTCTACAGTTAACATGGCCAGTCTCACTGTGAACAGTTTCTGAGCAGTAAGCTCAGCACAGAAATGTCACAAACATTACAGAAACAAAAATCATTATGCAATGTGTATGGAAAACTATACCTGAGATCTTCTATTTCCTTGATGTAACTATGAATCATATTACTAATTTCTTCATTCCCTTCACCTGCAAGATAAAATATGAAATGAAAAATTTATTTTAAAATGAAGACTTCAGTGTTGGGGGTATAGCTCTGTGAAGCGTGCTTGTCTAGCATGTATGAGGCCTGGGTTTGACCCTTAGGCACCAAAATAAAACACAAAGCCCACAGCAAATCTTCTCCCCTTAATTTGAACAGACCAGAAAACAAAATGATGCCCAGGGCACATTTTGTGTATGTAAGAAATTATTTTTGAAAGCTACGCACTTAAATTTAAATAATAGATTATATATACAAAATTTCAGACATCTACTTCACCTATTCCAGCTAACTAATGAACACAAAATGTTCCCCACCTTTCAGAAGTTAATCTCTCATCCATCCTGCCCTAAACACACACCTGCTCTGGCAAGAACTTGGTTGGCCTGATCGCTGACGAGCTGCGTGATTCTGGTCCGAAGCGCATCGACAGTCTCTTGCATGGCTTTTATTCTCACGCGCAGGTTATTATTTTCAGTCTGCAGCATAGCATTCTCATGAAACATGTCATTGATGCTTTCCATGCCCTCCTCATCAATTATTCTTTTGCCCTTGAAAAGAAATATTTCCTGGTTGGTTGAGAAGCCTTGAAGACACGACACTCCAAGACTATGCAATTCTATAAGCCCTTTTACCTTACCAGCCCAAGGCAAAAAATCCATTCCTCTCTAATACAATCCTCCATGGTACATCAGTCACTAAAAATATGAGAAGGCTAAGAAGCCTTGTGAAGCAATTAGGTTAGAGTGAACATCATTGACACCACCCACAAGACTAGTGAATCCTACCTACATCCAAAATACCTCCAAGCCACCCCCAAAAGACATCACCGTATTCACAAAACACCAGCCATAAGTGGGTCACACAGTACTGTCCAGTCAGTCCTTTCGACTTACTGTTTTGTACTCCATGAGCTCCATCTGAAGACGTGTGATCTCGCTACGGAGTGCATTTATTTGCTGACTTGCTCTGTCTTGATTGACCATCACTTTGTTCTTGATATTTCTGGCTCGATTGGCATATTTCAGAGTGTTCAATGTTTCCATAAAATCTCTGTCTGAAGGGCTGACACAGGCTATCATGATTGTCTGGCTGAAAGTTACAAAGAGTAATTATTTATACAAATAAAAGCAAACAGAACATTGAAATGCTTGTTTGAAAATTCTCTCCACTTGAATAGCAGTGTCTTCTCTTGAACAGACTGATGTTACCAACTTAAAGATAAATCAAGTTTAAAAGTTCCCGTGCAGCTTAAAGAAAAGATTTTGTTTATTTAGGTAATACCGGAAAGAAGAATTTGTACTATTTTCTTTGATACATAACTCTTGAGAACACACCAGCACACATATTTGTCTCTGACTTTTTTGCACAAACTTTTTGAAGCAATACTCAAAATAATTCTAAAATTATTTTAACTACAAATATGGCATGTTGAAAATAAAAAATAATTTCATTATTGTTACTTTAGTATTTTTAAAATTTCTTCCTTTCATTTAATCATTGCTACCCTGACTGGCTTCACAAAGAATTTTTACACAAAATGTAATCATATTTTAAAAAAATAAACATATGTCCTTATGTTTCACAGTAAAAACATTATTTGTGATTGAAAAATCAAATTTTTAGAGTTTTGATCATATTACACAGGATAGAAATGGAAAACATTACTTATAGTTATGATAAACCAATATGCCAATCAAAATAGGATAGTCAAATACTTGATGTGCCCCAGCTATTAGTTCTGTCAATGAAACACACGAAGATTCTCCTGGGCACTCACAATCCAATTAAACAAGATATGAGAACAGCAAAGTGCTGGCAAATTAGCACAGGTAGTAATCAGTGAGCACCCTCATTTTATTCAATGGACATTTTTAAATTTTTCTGTATATTCAAAATTATTTATTTTAGACTTTGTAAAAAGGTATCAATAATATTTAAACTAATTTGCAATTATTTAGAGGATAGCATTCATTTTTCGACAAGATTCTTTCAGGCATCTACTGTGTGCTACACAGAAGATATGCCATGGCAAAACAGGCTTCCTTTACAAGTTGCATCACTGAATAACATTTTTAACCTCTCTGAACATTACCTATAAAATAGAAATTTCAACAGCTTCCCAAGAATTATTATAAGCACTATTTGAAATAGTTTATAAAATGACTTACACATTTTAGGGACCTAATATCTAATCAGCTCTTTATACATAATTGCTTTATAACAAAAGCAATTCTTGACTGCTCTTGCAGAGGATCGGGGTTCAATACCCAGCACCCACATGGTGGCTATGAACCGTCCTTAACTCCAGTTCCAGGGGAATCCGAAGCCCTCTTCTAACCTTCGCGGCATTGCACAACACGGATGCACTCACATACATGCAGGCAATACACTCATACACAAAAAAATAAATAAAAGTTTGTTTTTTTTTAAATTCTTATAAATCATCTCACAGGTATACTTAAAAATACTTATTAACAGACACTCAGGGTCACCACATAGGCGTACCTATTGCCTCCCAGGGAGTCCTGCAGCAGCCTCGTCAGCTTGGAATCTCGATAGGGAACATGGGTGGCTCTCTTACTCTTGTCACCCAATGCGCTAATTACATTTCCAAGGGCCAACTAAGAAAGAAAAAGCAAGAGGAAAACTATAACACTCAAATAAGGACAGCCTGTGGGAGTAAATGGAAACTGACAAGAACACGTTTGATTTAACATTTTATTTTCAAATACATGTAAACTTTGTAATATATGTATTATTCATAACACAAATACTTAAACTTCTATCCAAAGATTTTCTTTAGAAATAAAAATATTGAAAAATTGACAAATTTTAACCATCCCTGGAGCTCCGGTTATGTCTCTAAAAAATTACCGGTTCATATTATAAACTCTTCTCATCCCAGTGAAGAACGTTTAGTCAATTCACAGTTCCTTGGAAGTTTTCTGTTACAATTCTAATGCTTTATGTGGTTAAAATCTCCTTTAGCCATAAGAAAAATATTAGTGTCATTTTCCTGAGCAAGGAATTCTCATATATATAAACCTGACTTTACAAATACAATGAAACTATGTATTTAACATTTAATTTTTTAAAAGCTAAGTCAAATTACAAGCTCCATTGTCACACTGCCCGCCACCTCTACTGATGAGCTAGCACCTGCAAGAAAAGCAACATCCAAACATGAGCCACGCTACATCTTAAAAGCACACCATCCACAGCCATGTCTGTTAGGACCGGGCCATCATGCAGCAGGTGGCATGGCGCTCACATTGCATCCTGACTCTCCACTCCCAGAAAGGCACTCTTAGGTACTGGCCACATCAAAATTCTAAAGGGAGCAATGTCTTTGGTTCATTCCTGAAAACATACCTCCTAAGAAATGGAAAACAACACTCAAAGTCCAGGATGAAAGCCTAACCTTTCACAGACCACTAAAACAAAGGGTGAGTCCATCAAGGTGGACCTTGATATTGGGAGGTCGGGGTCTCTAATAAACCTTATTGGATAATTCTGCCCAGAAAGGTCATAATCACATTGGTGCGCAAATACGCAGTGATAAAAACAAACAAACAAACAACGGAATCATACGTTTAGAGGCCCAGCTCCAGGACAGCAGAGAAACAAGATGAACGCACACAACCAAATGTCAGCTTTACAGGAATCCAGAAATTTTATGTGGTAACAAGTATCCAATTTTATAATAAAGACAATAAGAAAAGTTTTGGTATGCAAAAGTTGGCTCTAAAACATTTTATTAACAAGCCTAAGGCTAGCTCATCCACAAAGTGTTTTCCAATCAAAAGACCACTAGGTGGCATAGTATTAAAGTTAATTCCTTATACACGTTATTTTTTTAAAAAATCATTGTGAAAAAGCCTTTGAATAACCCTCACAGTCAATAAAATGACTGTCAGAAAATGTTAGCAAAAGCTATCTTACCTCTTGTCCTAAGAAATACTTAATATTAAATGTTTATTTTGAATGTATTTTCTTAAATGTGGAAAGAAGTTTTCAAATAATGTTTTCATAAACATAGTATTTACATATACTATAAAACTGAATCCAGCTAAATTTAGCATGAAAGTCTGCAATGTGTGTGGGAGGGAGTGTACAATACAGGCCAGAGACTCAAATTGTTAGTGTTTACCTCAGCCTTCATCTCTCAGGGCAGTGCTGAAGGATTTCCATTGAGGCATATTACAAATTACAGCAGAGGCAGAAGCAGGAGAGTCACTGTGGGGTGTGGCCAGCCTGGCCTGCATACAGAGACCCAGCCCCTAAAAGAAAAGGTAAATGGAAAAAAGGCAGCAGGCAGAAAAGCCACAAATTCCCAGCATAAAGCTTTCGTCTTACAAGTCCACAGTTGATAGAAATCCCTTCCTTCGCCCGCTCGCCAGTAGCTCCTGTTCGTTTCAACCTCTCTGACCCTGCTAGATCAACAAAATGGAACTTTGCAGTCAGTGTTTCAAATTCATTCATCTGTGCCGACTCAGAAATCATCTTATTATCAGTTGTGTTTTCCTACAACGAAGGAAAATCATTGAAAAGACTTTATTAATGTGATACAACATGCCCTATAACCCTACCCACGTCCCACATGCTTACACAGCTAAAGAAACAGTTGTGTAACCATATAAGTAGAAATGACTTAATGTCAGAAAGAAGCCTGAAGGCAAAAATCCAGCTGTTGTGAACTAAGGCTCCACAGACAACTGTACATTATAACTGGGGAACATAAGCACAAATCTCACAACAAAGGGCAACTCATCACCCCTCACAACAGCAGACATTTAGTGCTTCTGTTTCCCAAAATCTAACACAATTGACAGCTTTGATTTAAACAGTGAGGAAAAAACTTAAGGAAGAATTAAAATAAACTTGAGAGCCACATAATTTTAAGGAGCTAAAGACTGAAAGTTTAAGAAGAACCAGTAACTCACAGCGTCTGTTTGGGGACACATTCTGGTCTGACAAACGTGAATGGTAAAAATGGCATGTGACCGAGAGCTCTGCACATTCATCTGGGTACTGGCTGTGGTGCGGGACAAAGCACCCAGCTTTAGACACTGCATCATCTGGAAAAGGGGAAGAAGGCTTGACTTGAGCATCTTTACCCAGGATACTACCTTCCTGCTGACTGAGCTAAAGGCTACATCCCACCACAGTAAAGGAGATAAAGGAGCCATCGCCAATGGTCATTTTAGTCACAGGCACATTTGGGGCTGAAGTTTACAGTACAGTGGTGCATTGTTTTTTAAGTAGAAGTAAACACTGAGTTCTTTTATTTGCCATTTGCTGACATTTTCAGCTTCCATTCAGTGCAGCAGAATGCTTTGATACAAACTAAACAATAATTTGAATTACTTATTTAGGCTATTCCGTATCTCCTGTTTTAAATTTTTCTTTGCTTTTTCTTCTGAGATTTTTTTTTCTGAAAAGTTTCCCTTTAGAAGCCAAGATACAATCCTATTTGTCTGAAGCAAAAACAGCAAAGAGACTGTAGTCTCACGGTCAGCATTAATTATCTAACCCTCTTCACCTGTGAAAGCTTACTGTTACACAAAGGGCTTCAGGCTCCTCTGATGGATGGTAAATGCAATGCTTTTATCATAACCCTCACATTTTAAAAACCATGTTTCACATTCATTTTAGCATGTATGTGCATGTGCCACATGGTGTGGGTGGACATCAGAAAACAACATTTGGAATCAGTTCTCTCTTTCTACTTTGTGGGTTCTGGGGCTCAAACTTAGGTCATAAGGCTTGGTACCAGGCACCTTTACCCGCTGAGTCATGTCACTGCCTCTTTCACATTTTTATAGTGGTGCTCTTTTAGAAAAAAAAAAAAAAAAGAAGATTTTTTAACTCTACTTTACTTAAGGATGCCCATTTTAAGCATTGATCCTAAGGATACCATCAGTTGGCATGGCTTTTACAAGTCACCTATACTATATTTTAACAACACAGCTGTCAGCTGTCACCT